AAGAAAACAGCGCAGGAAACGCGACAGCCTTTTTACTTTGCTGCAGATTTTTGCAGCTTCAGGCTTGCATGGATTAAATGCTAAAAACATGATGTTAGACCCACCATTTATCTACCAAGCTCATACATAACTCCAAACATCAGTCTATCATTAGTCAAGCATGGCTATCTTCCCCCCCCCAAACTATTCCAAGAAATTCAGCCAAGGCAACGAGATAATAAAGAAAATGCAGCAGCTCCTCATTATTCAAACCAGAATATCCAAATTTCCATTGTTAACAACATCCGATGATAAGCATGATATGAGCAAGACTAAAACAGTAAAGATGACCCAAAACAGCACGAAACACCAGAGATTACATGCATCAAAAAGATACCATAGACATCAATAGCTCCCAGATGCAACTGAATGTAAAAAAAAAAGAAAATGCAGCAGGGGGGCACGAGGAAACTCGCGGCTTGCGGCAACATGCCTACGGCATACCATCCCAGCCGAATACCCAAAAAAAACATAAACTTCAAACCAGTCAACATGAAACAGAGAGGGACCAAGTAACATTGGAAACAAAATGGCAAACACTGGACGCTGACTCCTCTATCATGTAAACATCAAGCATTGGTTTTTTTCTTTATCATATAGACATCATCCACAGCCACAAGACTGGACCTTTTACCCACATATAAGAAATAAACTCTTGGTGATCATAAAACAAAAGGGGCGGCAGAATAGACAATCAAAGCAGTGATCTTTCCATAAGCAAAATCACTAAACATTATTCAAAGAGATACTGGGATCTAAAGGGAAGGAACTACTTACAGTACTCAGGCTTTCTTGATGAAGATCCGCCTCTGCTGGTGGCGTGAAGGTGAGCAAATCCTTTGCTCAGGTTTGTTGCTTCAGGTTACAGCTTCCTCGGTTTTCCTCCCGTCTTCTTCCAAGTCTCAAGTTCTGGTTTTTCTTTCGTTTCCCTCAAACTCGCGGGTCTCCCGTTCCTTCCAGCTTTTCCAGTCTTTCTCTCCTCACCTCCCAGATTCTAACCGTCACCCTAGCTCTCTTTTCCTCAACTTTTACCTCTCTCAAAGCTCTAACCTTTTGCGCAGCCCCCCTGTTTTCTCTTCCGGACTCAGCCGTCACTCCCTTTGTTTCTTTTCTGGTTTCCTCTCCAGCCCACTCACCAAACCCCAGCCGTTAAAAGCCTTCAGATTTTTCTCACTCAGCCGTTATCTTCCCAAAAAACCCTCTCTCTCGCTCTCCTTGAAGTTTCCTTCCATCTCTCTGTAGCTTTTTCTGGTTTTCTACCGCTCTCTCGCTTCTCAGTTTTTCCTTAGCCGTCAACTCAAAAAACCTTCCCCTGCGGCTGATGCTCTCTTTTCTATTTATATCGGACTCCTCAACCCTAAAACCCAGTCCTTTCTTCTGTAATTTGCAGCCAAGGGACTACCCAGCCTTTCCTTGCAAGCTGCGACAAAACGCAGCTTGCATGCCGCAAAACCTCTTTTTTTTTCTTTTTTTTTTCCAACTTAATAATTTAACAAAAATAAAAGTAAAACTAAATAATAAAAACAACAATTTTAATTACAAATACATCAAAATAAACAAACTAAAACAACAAAATTGCCATTTTCAATTTTTTTCTTTCATTTTTCATTTTCATCATTTTTCACTTTTTTTCTTTTTTTTTCTTTTTTTTTTCAAGAAAGCATTGAATTTAGATTACAAACGACTAAATCATATTTTTTTTGAATGCTTTTTCTTTTCTTTTTTTTCCGTTTTTTCAACAAATTCTATGATAAAAACTTAAAAAATAAAAATAAAACTAGAAACTAAAAACTAAAAACTAAAAAATCGAATAAAACTAACACGACAAATAAAAAACTAAAAATAAACAGTAAATGAAATTACACCAAAAATTTGGTGTCTACAATCGGGACTGACCCGAGACCGGAAATTTAAAATTGGGACTGACCCGAAATAGGAAATTTAAAACGGGACTGATCCGAACTGAAAATTTAAAATCGGGACTGACTCGTGACAAGAAATTTAAAAACGGGACTGACACAAACAGAAAATTTAAAATCGGGACTGACCCAAAATAGAAAATTTAAAACGGGATTGATCCGAACAGGAAATTTAAAGTCGGGACTGACCCGAGACAGAAAATTTAAAATCGAGAAATTCCAATATACTTACCCGAAAATAGCCCAAAATTTTCAGTTGAGGTTAGGTTCTTGCCTCTGAACCGATGGTTGATTCTGTATTGCCATGTTATTGTACCTTTTGATTAAATTTGCTTGCAACACTTTCGATCCGCCTTTGTTCATTGGAGAACTCTTTCCGACAGCAATTCCAGTGCGAGGTGTGATTGTTTTTATCTGTGCATGCAATTTTCTGCAAAAGAGAAAAAACAAAGAAATCGCCACCATCATTTGGTCCGTTTTCCTTTGAGAATCGTGTAAATATGAGGTTTTTTTTTATGCCTTTGTCAACTTTTGCTGTGACATTTTCCCAAGCTAACCATGTATATATTTGCCATATCACGAAACCTACGCGAACAGCTTTGCTGGATCTCAACTATTTTCAAAAGGAAACTGAATCCGAGTATGCTTCGAATAAATCATAGGGATTGTCATTCACCAAAATTCAAAGATTTAAAAAAAATGATGTAAGCAAGGTAATTTCACATGTAATACAGAAATGAACATGCAAAACAATGCAAACAAGACCGACTGTGCTCAAACCTATAAAATGCCACGACTACAAGCAATTGAGAAAAATGAGCTTCATAAGAAATGTATTTTGCAGAAAATATTTTTTACAAAAATGACATAGCTTTCGGCCAACAGATGTCATATTTGAATCTCTGGATATCTTTGTTCTGGAATTCAACATTGGCAGAAGTATTACAAAAATGAGGAGAAATCCAAATGAACCAAGTCACCAGCTGTTCCTCCTTGTGTTCGCTCGCTGCAAAATCCTACCTTGGCACCCTTTCGGGTTTTCACCAAAGTTGACCCCCCCCCTTTTTTTGCTTTTTTTTTTTGTTTTGTTTTGTTTTTCCTTTCTTCTTTTTTTTTGTGTTTTTTTTTTCTCTTTTTCCTTTCTTCTTTTTCTCTTTTTTTTCTTTTTTTTCTTTTTTTTTTGAGGTGCCCTTTCGAGTTTTCAACTAAGGAACAATGGAAAAGCTCGACCATGATCAACTCAAGAGTGTGAGTTGAAGATTTCTGGCATCAGTAAAACGCACTTCCCTTATAAATTTAAGTGAAGGCATTACGGACACCACTTGCCAGTTGATTAGCGAAATCCCTAATAGAAATACAGCAAGTGACGAAAGCTAGGACTTTTGGGCTTTTGTAATGAGGTTAGATGGGATGTTTTCAAGAAAGTTGAGGCTTGAAAGCAAAAAAATTTTTTTTTTAAATGAAAAGTGTGAAATAACCTGAGATTGCATCATTTTGAAATCATCTCCAATTTTGAACGACACTACGGAAAATTTGCCCCAGTTTGATTGGGATTTTTCTTTCTTTGCATTTTTCATTGTATTTTCCTCACTTTTGCATTTTGCTTTTAAAAACTAAATTTGCCCCAGTGTGGGACTTTCCTTTTCTCTCTGATCATCTATTTTCAAAATAAAATTGCCCCTAGTGTGGGGCTTTTCTTTTCCTTTTTCTCTTTTGGATCATCTTTCTCTCAAAATAAATTTACCCCAGTATGGGGGTTTGCAATTCTCAGGGGCTGTCAAACGAAAATTATTGTTCTGATAGCTCAAACGGGATGACTAGGGATGAAATGTTTTTATTGGAAAAGAAGATGGCCTGACTTTTGTTTTGTCACTTGCGTGACTTCTAAAAGAAATTTGCATAATCAAATAAAGAACTTCTTACACATGTCTGAGTTGATAGGTTGAGGGAATGTCTGTCCATCCATCTCGCCCAAAATGAGTGCTCCTCCAGATAACACCTTTTGAACAATAAATGGCCCTTGCCAATTTGGAGCAAATTTGCCTTTGGCCTCATCCTGCACTGGTAAAATTCATTTAAGTACTTTGTCGCCTTCCTCAAATGTACGCCGATGGACTTTCTTGTTGTAGGCCCGGGCCATGCGTTTTTTGTAACATTGGCCATGACAAATAGCATTAAGCCGTTTTTCATCTATCAAGAACAGTTGTTCATAACGTTGCTTTAACCAATCAGTCTCTTCCAACTTGGTTTCCATTAGAATACATAACGAAGGGATTTCGACCTCAGCAGGTAGCACAGCTTCCATTCCGTACATAAGCGAGTAGGGGGTCGCTCCAGTTGAAGTTCGAATAGAAGTACGGTATGCCATTAGTGCATAAGGAAGCTTTTCATGCCAGTCACGATGCTTTTCAGTCATCTTACGAATGATTTTCTTCAAATTCTTGTTTGCGGCTTCCACAGCTTCGTTCATCTGCGGTCTATAGATGGCAGAGTTATCTGTAATCAATGTTTCTGGCACCCCAAATCGGCATAGGATGTGATCTCTTAAGAAATTTGCCACCATCTTCTTTGTCACGTGCTTGAATGATTCGGCTTCAACCCATTTGGTAAAGTATTCAATTGCAACCAATATAAATCGATGCCCATTTGAAGCAGGAGGATCAATTGTGTCAATCACGTCCATACCCACATTGAGCAGGGCCATGGGGCAATCATGCTATGCAATTCGGTGGGAGGAGCGCGTATAACATCGCCATGCACTTGACATTTAATACATCTCCGGACAAAGTCTATGCAATCGCACTCCATGGTAAGCCAGAAGTACCTGGTTCTCATGATTTTCTTTGCTAACAAATGTCCATTCATGTGAAGTCCACAAACACCACTATGCACCTCTTTCATCATGTATTAAGCTTCATCCTCATCGATGCACCTTAAGAGGTTCAAATCTGAGGTCTTTTTGTACAATACCTCCCCATTTAAGAAAAACTTCGAGGCCATTCTGCGCAGGAAACCCTTCTCGTTTGCACTAGCTTCCGGAGGTTAAGACCTGATTTTGATGAATTCCTTAATATCATTGTACCACGGGCATTTACCAGATATTTTGTCTATGACCCAACAATGAGCAGGCTTGTCCTGGAGTTGGATTCGGAGAGGCTCGATTCCTAGTTCGTCCGGATATTGTATCATAAAAGATAAAGTGGCCAAAGCATCGGCAAATACATTTCGGGCTCGCGGGAGATGTCTGAATTCCAAACTTTGAAATTGTCTAGCCAGAGTGAGCAAATTACAATCGTATGGCAAGATCTTGGAATCTTTGGTTATCCATTGCTTCAACGTTTGGTGCACAAGTAAATCTGAATCACTGAAAGCTATCAACTCTTTAACTTCCATTTCCAAAGTCATTTTAAGACCAAAATTACAGGCTTTATACTCAACCATATTGTTTGTGCAGGCAAATTGTAATTTAGCAGCCCCAGGGTAATGCTTCCTTTCTGGAGATACGAGAACTGCTCCTATTCCAGTTCCGAAAGAATTAGCGGCACCATCGAAAAACAACCTCCATTCAGGGCACAGCTCGCTCATATCTTCTACGGCACCCACAAGTAAAACCTCGTCATCGGGGAAATAAGTATGGAGCGGTTAATAGTCATCCTCGTTTGGATTTTCTGCCAAATGATCGGCTATAGCTTGTCTATTGACGGCCTTTTGCGAAGTGAAAACAATATCAAATTCCGAAAGAATCATCTGCTATTTGGCCAGACGCCCAGTTGGCATTGACTTCTCCAAGAGGTATTTCAGAGGATCAGAGCGGGATATGAGATATGTAGTATGACTTAGCAGGTAGTGCCTCAACTTTTGAGCTACCCAGGCCAATGCACAGCAGCTTTTCTCAATAAATGAATAATTAGCCTCATACTGGGTGAATTTCTTGCTCAGATAGTAGATGGCTTGCTCTTTCCTTCCGGAATCATCGTGTTGCCCCAGAACACAACCTACTGCTCCGTCGAGCATGGATAAGTACATGATCAAAGGCCGGCCCGGCTTAGATGGCACTAGGATCGGATGGTGCAGCAAATAATCCTTAATTTTGTCAAAAGCTTGTTGGCACTCTTCATTCCAATGCAATGGCACATTCTTTTTCAACAACTTGAATAGTGGCTCGCACGTAGCGGTTAATTGGGCAATGAATCTTCCAATGAAATTAATTTTTTCCAAGAAACTTTTCGCATCTTTCTGCGTTTTTGGCACTGGCATGTCTCGAATTGCCTTGATCTTTGTCGGGTCTATCTCTATGCTCTTTTTACTGACAATGAATCCCAACAGTTTACCAGCTGGTGCTCCCAAGGCACATTTCGCAGGATTTAGCTTCAAATTGTACTTCCGCAACCTGTCAAACAACTTTTTTAGATCAATCAAATGGTCCTCTGTTTTTCTGGATTTGATTATAATGTCATCCACATAAACCTCCATCTCCTGGTGGATCATATCATGAAACAAGGTAGTCATGGTCCTTTGATAAGTAGCTCCAACATTCTTTAAACCAAACGGCATTACTCGATAGCAGAATGTGCCCCAAGGGGTGATAAAAGCAGTTTTTTCCCTATCTTCTTCGGCCATTAAGATCTGATGATATCCAGCGAAACAATAACAAAAAGATTCAATTTCGTGTCCAGCAGTGTTGTCTAGAATAATGTGAATATTTGGCAAAGGAAAGTCATCTTTCGGACTGGCTTTATTAAGGTCCCTATAATCAACACAGACTCGTACTTCTCCATTCTTCTCCAGAACAGGGACTGAATTTGAGAGCCAAACAGGATAATGAGATACAATGATAATATTAGTCTTAAGCTGCTTTTCAATTTGCTCTTTTATTTTGAGGCTCGTGTCTGGTTTGAATTTACGGGGCCTTTGCTTCACTGGTGGGAAAGTTGGGTCTGTAGGTAATCTGTGTACCACTATATCGGTCGAAATGCCAGTCATATCGTCATAAGACTATGCAAATACATCTTGAAACATGGACAAAAATTCAATCATCTCCTTTTTCTGCTTTTCGTTCAAATGAATGCTGATTTGTATCTCCTTAACCTCAGTCTCAGTGCCAATGTTGACAATTTCTGTTTCTTCTAAGTTCGATTTAGGTTTCTCCTCATATTGTTCGAGATCTTTTGAGAAAAAATCATATACCTCCTCATTATCACTCTCGTCTTGCAATTCATATTGCATAATTTCCAAGTCGTGAGTGATATAGAGATTGTCATCATTGGGTTCCAGAACAGTGATATCCATAGGGTCAAATAATTTTATTTTCGGCCATCTGAAAGGATTAAGAAATTCAAGGCAATAAGCAAATAAAACACGCAAATAAACAAGTAAACGAACAATTGTGATAAAAACTACTTGTGCATTTTCATAAGCTTCAAATCAAAGTGAAACAAGACAAAAGTTTAATTGCTAAAGATGCTTTCATTAAACTATTTTCATATGCAAGAAACAGTTTTCATGAACTTTGGTAAATGACAACCCCCTGTAGATTTACCGAAACTCCTTTTGCACGGGAAAGCACTCGGCGGTCCAGTTGTGTATAGCTCCTTGGGGAATGTCTGGGAATTCGGCATCATCTGACGGACAATCTTCGGATATTGCTCCCACAAACAAATGAGTCAGGCTTGTCTCCACATCGTAAATTGGGCTAAACTCAGATGTAATTTCTTCAGCCGGCTTTGGAAAGGTATAGCGTAGTGGTGGAATGTCTAAAACACCTAACTTGCCTTCCTTTTCGGCCTTCTTGCGTGCTTTCATCTCTTTTATATCTCTGGCAGTCGGACGGAATCCCAAACCAAATAAGTCCTTCTTTTCGATGAGTTCCACGGGTTTCAGAATGCCTTGTAGATTGCACCCCAATCCCTTATCAAATTCATATCCTCCGCGAATCATTTCCTTGGCCATCATAACATTGGCCGCTGGCAAAACCATTTCGTCTTTTAAAGCCTCACTTGTTATCCAACTCACAGAGACAATGTCAGTTGTACGGTAAGAAGACACTGAAGCATTTCGGTTACCATTTTCCTTAGGCTCGGAATCGGCAATTACAATGTAATTTTCTTCAGTAAAAATGGTTAACAGCTGGTCGTTCACCACAAATTTCAATACTTGATACAAGGAAAAGGGCACAGCGCCAGAGCTATGAATCCACGGCCGCCCGAGTAAAACATTATAGACACTGGAAAAGTGCATAACTTGGCAGCCTATCTGAAATTGAGCGGGCCCCATTTCAACCACCAAATGTACTTCTCCTATGGACTCCCTTTAGGTTCCATCGAATCCTCGAACTACGGTTTCTGATGGTTTTAATTTGACATCTTGCAACCCTAACTTCACCAAAGTGCTCCAAGGACAAATATTGAGAACAGACCCATTGTCGATCAGTACTTTATGCAACATTTTCCCATTGCACCTCACAGCTACATATAAGGCTTTGTTATGACCAGTTCCTTCCACAGGCAGCTCTTCATCAGAAAAAGTGATTTGTTTAGCAGACATTTCTGACTATGTGCGAGAAATTGTCAACCGAAATATCCTTGAGAATCCGAGCCTTAGTCAAAACTTCAAGTAACGCATCCCTGTGCAAGTCAGAGGAGAAAAGCAAGTCTAAGATGGAAATTTGGGCAGGCATTTTGTTCAGCTGTTCAACCACATTGTATTCGCTTCTCTTAAGCCTCTTGAGAAAATCCCATGCCTCTTTTTCAGTCACTGCAGCTTTGGTAGTCGGATCATGATTGCTTATTTTGACTGGGACGCCAGCAGTGGATGAGCTTGCGATTTTTCCTGACCTTGTGACAGCAGACACTTCTTCCTTCAAAACTTGTTTACTCCCGATTTGTAAAACGGGCTCACTGAAATTCCATGGTACCTGCTGTAAGCTGGAAACTGGCACTTGTTCTGGGAACTCAATTACCACAGGTTCTAAAGCCGCACTTTCGGATGGGGTTAGATCTAAAATGAAGGGCTTTTTGTCTTCCTCATATGATGCTTCCTCTATCACAAAAGGTTGATCCATTATCCCGACCACTTTGATTTCATTTGACATGCTTCGAATAAGCTCCTTAAATTCCTTATCATCCATAATAACTCCGACAGTATCAGCGTGTTCTGGCAAAGGATTCTTGCTTACGTTTGGTCCTTGCTCTTCTCTTTTCCTAATTATGATTTCTCCTGCTTCGAGCATGTCTTGAGTCTTATGTTTGAGGAGTCAACAATTGGCAGTGGAGTGATCAGGTGCCCCTGAATGATAAGTGCAAATAGCCTGTGGATTGTACCCAACAGACATGCCATAAGGGTAAGTTGGAGGGGGAATCACGCCTATTTTACCGGCAGCCTTTAATTGCTCATATAACTGATTTAAAGGCCTGCATAGGTTGGTGAACGTTCGGGTACAATTCTGATTGTAGGTTTCAGTGGGTTGGGGATAGTTATAGGTGGGTCTATTTGGTGGGGGAAATTTCTAGTGGTAAGGAGGTAGGGGACGAGTTTGTTGAAAATTTGACTGAGATATTTGGAAAGAAACTGTAGGCAGGTTGGTGTAATTTGGGCGATGTCGAGAGTAGGAGATATTGGTATTGTAGACAGGGTGAGGACTTGGATAGTAGGGATAAGGTGGTGAATATGTTAGTTTGTGTTGAAATTTGGATTTTGGTGTAGGGTTTTGGTCCCAGATAAAGGCAGCTTCCCCCTCTTTCTTTTTAAATTGCGGCTTTTTCCCACTGCTCCCTTGTCCTTGCAAAGCATCCAACTGCGATTTGAGGGCAGAGACATTAACGATCTTCCCAACTCTTATGAAATCATCGTACTCTTCAAGCTTATTGACAATAGCAGCAACGAACATCCAGTCATGAGGAAAATTTCTTTAAAGTACGGCGGATCATGTGCTTTAATGAAAATGTGTATGATTTCGTCCTCAATCATTGGTGGCTCGACTTTTGCAGCTATTTTTTTCCATCTCTTAGCAGAAGTCTTATGGTCCTCAGAGGGTTTTCTCTTTGTTCCTTCCAACGTGGTTCGTGTCAGAGCCAGCTCGCAGTTATACTCGTACTGCCTCACAAAAGCATTGGACAAGTCAAACCAGGTCTTTATTTTTTCGGGTTTCAGATTGGAATACCAGTCGAGTGCATCCCCTTCCAGACTTTCCGGGAACAGCCTTAGAGGTAGATTCTCGTCATCTATGGGCCTTCCTAACTTGTTAGCAAACAGACGGAGGTGCGTTTTGGGATTGCTCGTTCCATCATACTTGTTAAATTTTGGGGTCTTGAACCCCACAGGCAATTGCACATTTGGGAAGAGACAAAATTCATCATAGTCCAGCACTCCTTGCTTGTTTAACCCTTGACTTTTTCTCATAAATTCATCGAAACGGTCTAGGCGCTTGAGCAGCTTCATAACAACGGGAGCAGAAGATTCTCTCATCTCTGGTTTGGTTTGAACAGTATGGTCTGGCAGGAAGGGCTCAGCAGCAGTGTGATAAAAGGTATGCGGCTCAGGTGGTATATTTGAGGTGACTAGGGGTTGTGGACCTCGCATGTGAGAAGGAAAAGATGAAGGATTAGGAGGGTAAGCGTATAGCAAATTCGTGGTAGCATAGGTGAAAGTTTCTTCTGGTGGAATAAGGAAAGAGGGAGTAGAGGTTGTTTGAGTCGGAGGTATGACAAATGATTTTTGCTCAGGTTGTCTGACGGGTATGGGCTCGGGTTGAACTCCGCTGCTGATAAGCTCATCAATCAATTTCCTTTGATCCGCCATCTCGATAGCCATCTCACCAAACTTATTAAGCATCTCGGTTAGGTGAACCCCTAAACTCGTAGCCTCAGGTTGAGCTGCAGTAGCAAACCTATCCGACGGTTCCGATTGTGAACTCATGTTTACACGATTCCTCTGGGCTTGACTACAGGATCGTGTTATGATGGGGTTTCGACGAGAAGCTATATTTAAATATTACCTGAAAATATGAAATGGCTTGCCTTTAGATTTTAGCCCTCGCTTAGCTTTTCCAACAAAAATAAAATAAAGAAAAAGAAAAAGACAAGTGTTAGTAAATATCCAAAAAATTCGGATGCATGTCCTATTGGAGAACCCTTTTTATGCCAAGGGTGGGCCTAACATGATGCTATACCTTCGGGGTAAAATTCTAATTTCAAACCTGTAAGTGAATATAAAAGCAGGAATTCTCATTAAATATGGATAAACTCAATCCTTCTTTACAATCTCATTGATGGTTCGACTGACCATTCTTACAAAATCTTCATGTCTAGCTAGTTTAGTGTGTTGGGATTCCCTAGAACTCCCGATACTAAGTTTCCGAATCTCATCTTGGATTTTATCAAATGTACCCAATGCCTTTTCCAATTTCTCGATTTTCCTTGCCTCTTTCTTCAGTTGTGATCGGGCGTCTTCCAATGCTTGATCGGCCACCATGATCTGCAACTGATGATCCTCCAATTCTTTCATTAATTTCTCATTCTGCTCTTCAAGACTAACGGAGACCAACGGTACCCTTTCTCTTCCTTGTTCCATTATTGATTTGATCCAGTCGTTGTACTCCAAGATGACCTTAGGCTCTACTTTATTCACTTGGTCCAAATGCAGGTTGTCCAAACTACACAGATTCCCCCAAACTTCCAACACCATACTCCGACATTTAGCGACTGTATTGAGTTCGATGCTTCCCACTCTTTGTATGTTCGGCACTCTCTGCGGATACCCAAACTGTCTCATAACTCGTTGTGGCACGTACATAATCAATCCACTGGTGCTCGCTAATGGGATAAAGCCAAATTGTGTAGTCTTGAAAGCTGGATCCCTTACTTTCGTCCAATCGAGAACCCATTGTATCTTATCCGAAGTTAAAACATTGAATTCTTGAATAAACAAACTTGGAGACGCTATTCGATAATATTTTCTAACCCTTTCTCGGTGCGACTCAACCCAATTTGCTGTTGGAAGACATGATCCCAATGGATTTAGCGCTCTTTTTGACAGATGTTCCATTGCCCACATTTGAAGCACCAGGTTGGATGCATAGAAAAACCCCCTCTTCTTTTGGCATTCGGTAACAGCAGTGAAGATATCAGCGATGATGATAGGTACCAAAGTAGGGGTCTTTTCCTTGATTCCTAGAAACACACTTTGAATCATGTTGACTGTTGAGAAAGTAACCTTTCCATGCTTTTGTGGGAATAATAGTAAACTGGTCAAGACTAGTCCAAAGGCTTGTACTCGCTTTCCTTCCCACTGCTCTCTGCTAATGAAGAAGTCATCATGGTGTCGGTCATAAGAGTCCCTTTCCCCAAATCGTTCGTACAAGAACTCCAGTGGACACGATTTTGCGTCCGGGTGCTGGTCCATACTAACTTGCCTTAAACCTAGAAATTTGCAAAACTGCCCTCTAGTTCCACTAGTTGGGTACACCATAGGGCAACCTTTCCCAGTCATTTGCAATAGTCCCTCTATTTCCTCCAGAGTGGGTGTTAACTCACACTCCCCAAATCAAAAAACGGAACAATCGGGATCCCAATACTCGAGTAGTGCTTGAATGATTGCTATGTTTAGGGTTATGTTCAAGAGACTCGGTAGATGCCCTATATACGGGAACAATCAGTTCACTTCATGCGCCATGTTGTTCTTCCAAACCATCAGCTCACGAGGTATATAGTTTAACATTCGGCACGGAGCCATCTGGGGAAGAATTTCACTGTTTAGTACCTTACCTTGGAATTTTACCCCTTAGGCCAAACAAAATTGTAAACATGCAAGTTTCGTTGGATTAAATATCCGAGACATGGGCTAGCTTAATCCTAACACGGGATTCCCTAAATGGCATTCCCTTCTAAGGTGGATGCATGATGCTAGTTTATCAAAGCGACTAAATATGCAGTACACCAATGAAACGTGACCTAAAGGAACCCCTTTTTGTATGCTGGGGTGAGCCTAAAATGATATGTTATTGTGCTACCAATGCAAAGCAATGAATTTAAACGTATCCAATCAAATAGGGTAGGTTCCTAGAGAGTACCATGCCAGGACTCTTATTTTTCTAGGGCTTATGAATGTAATGGAGACAAAAAACCAAGAAAAGTTAGTTCAATCAGATAAATACATATAACACATTTGTATCAAAGCAGTACAAAGAGATAAAGCAATAAAAAGAATAGAGGGGTTGGATTCCTCCTCTCGTGAATAGTGTTCCTAATTTAGGGTAAGGTCGACTCTACCCTAGGTAA